TTTCCGGCTGAGAAATTCTGAAATTTTTGGTGTTTTAGCAGCCTTGTAATATTATATTTTACTAACTACACTTTGGCTCACTCCGGGCTCGGCCGTCGTCGTGAGTAGATTACTGCAGGGTTGAAGAAAAACATTTTTAAAGAAAATCAAATAAAGGACGTTTTTTTAAAAAACTTCTAATCAATCACGATGTTTTTGATTTCATCATTTTATTATTTAATTTAACTATATTTTTACGCAAAATGGAACACGCCAAGGGACTGCGGGAACAGAGTGCGAGAATTTCCCTTTTGTCTAACATGTGAATGCCAAGCAAAAGTGAAATACCCGTGTAGTGTTTTGTACATATTGCTTGCAATTATGGTCTCACTTCTGTAAGAACCAGCGTAAAATAGTAGCTTAATGCTGCTGTGTTTCGTATGGTGAGTGTAGAGAACCGGATACCCTTTTTACTGGAAAGGAGGCATCCCATCTTAGTCTGCACAGGTGACAACGCATCTGCATTTTGTTTTGTAATCGAAGATAGACGTAGATGTCTATGGTCCGCAGCAACCACTTACTATCAGGTGGACTGTGTGCTCGTTTGTCACACTATCCTATAAAAAACGAACTAAAAATACTTACTAGTTTTCTATATGGTTATGGTGATCGTACTCAGTAGACAACAGTATGATTAGTGGAAAATTTTAACTGCTCGATGTCTGTAGACATGAAAGACTGTAGACATGATTGCTTTAATAAGTAACTGTCTACAAAGACAAATAACAACATCATAAATAAATTATATTTATTTATTTTTCAGAATCGACTTCACTTGTTGCTAGCTCCTAGCTCATCTGTATTGCGCGGAACCGGCTCTTAAAAAAAAGGAACTATCGGAAAGCTTAAGCTCCTTTATATTAAACACGCCGAAATCTACAAAAGAAACAATAGACCGACAAATAGCAAATGCCATGTTTGCTACAAACTGTAGCTTTAGAAGTCTTGAACAACTACAAGTAAAATAGCCATTTAATTATTACGCTCAGAGTTTATCCCACCATCCCGGAAGGATATATCAGGCAAATTATTAGATCGAATATACCTAGAAGAAAAGAACGGTGTTTCTCTAATTTATCTCGTAGTTATGTGAATATGATGTCTGTAGATGGGTGGCCTAACATTCACAATGAACCGATTATTTGAGCCACTATTACGACACTGGTGAATATCTAGCTGAACTTGCAGATAATTTGATAGCAAGATTAAAGTCTTAATTAATGCGTAATTTTGTAAGTTTTACTACCGACAACGCTGCAAACATGGCTAAAATGCGGAAGGAATTACAAAATAGTGATAAAATAATCACTTACTGCTATTCTACACACTTATTGAACTTACTTTCCAAATACTTAGAAATAAGCAGTATAAAGAAGCATGTAGTGCAAATAATAAAATACTTCCGAAACAATTAGTTATCAGTTAGCTGCAACAGCTTGTACAAAGCGGTAGGAAGGAAAGCATTAGTAATGTCACAAGATGTTCGTTGGAATATGGTAACTGATTGTTTCGAAGTCTTTGTGTCTGTGTATCAAAAGCTAATATTATGTGAAGAGAACAGGGACGTCATAAATCCTGTTATTAGAGCAAAAGTTGAAAACATGGTCGTAAAAAAGGTCGGTGAAAGATTATCTAATAATTTTGAAGCCAATATCTGTTACATTGGATACTTTACAAAGAAATAATGCAAATTTGGGTACTGCTGTAACGAGTTGGAAGAGCTTAATTACAAGAAACTGATTTCAATATTAGCCAAATGTCGAAGTTGTAAGAAAGATTTATGCAAGCAATGTGCCCCAGCCACTTTTTGGCATGTTTATTACACCCAACCAAAACAGAATCCACACTGAAAGATGAAGAAAAAAATGTTTTGGAGGAAGCACGAAATCACTATGATGTTATACTCCTTAAGTTCTGCAATCGGATAAAAAGTACCCTGTAAGTAGCCTCGGGTCCCTAACTACCTACACACAATTTTATGGAAATCTGTTCAGTAGTTTTTGTGTGAATCTTGAATACACAGACAGACAAATATTCTAAAAATCACTAATTTGGCTTCAGTGGACTTTTTGGAATTTCACCTGGACATTTTTCCTTTAAAAAATTTTAAAAATTAGAGATATAGTTTTCAACAGATTTATTATATGTATAGAATAGGAACGGTCAAAAACTGGTTGATCACGGTTAGGGCGCGAGATGAAAAATTATAGAACGTAGTAATGAGGCATTGTTTTGTGGATATACATACACTAGAAACCGACAAACTTTTATTTGAGCCGCAACTTTTCAATGAAGAAGTGACAATTTGGTGAGCGTAAGATTATTAACTCTCATGTAACTTACTTCTTCATTAAGAGGGAAACCATAAAATTGAAAATTATAATATCACCTTGATACTTAGATACTTATTTATATTAGTGTGAGCATTGCTTCTGAATATCTTCCACTAGATTAGCAATGACAGGATTGTAGTTGGAAATTGCTAACCTTAAAGAATCCAATGTATGAGCGTCCATCAAGCAAAAATGTTGACAGTTGTTAAGGCGTTACCCCTAGTCCTATACAATTCACGCGCTCTCGCTACAATATATCGCGTAAGAAATACTCCCAAATTTTGGAATTATCTTAATTAACAAAGAAAAGCGAACTTAAGAAATTAAATAAAACGTGAATAGTATAGATTTTTTAATTAGAATTCAATTGATTAGAGCGTTGCCTTTAGCAACAGATGCATGTAATCAATAATTTCAGTCAATTTTTAAAAGTTGATTTTAAATGTATTTATAACACATAAAAACAAATTAATGAAAGTGATGATAGGATATCGAACATTAATAATGTGCTTTTAGATGTAGTTTATTTATCATAACTAATGAGAAAATAGTCCCTGAAAAACGCACTATCGCAAGGTTTTGGTCGTGGTATCGCCTTAAAGACATTTCTTAAATTATGGATATTTCTAGTTAGAAGACAATACCTCTATCGCTCGCAATACCATCCGAACTCGAGATACCCTCCATACCATCTGGATGATTGGCGATCCACCACTGTGCGATTTACAAGAAATTTTCTTCCTCGCACAACTTTCATTTGTAATTGACTACCACCAGCGACTTTTCCGGACCGATACGACTTATGTACTTTCAAGAAAAGGAGCTACTCTCCTTTAAAAGGCCGACAATTCATCTGCAATTCCCCTGATGTTCCAATTGTTCATAAGTGGCGGTTGTCACTTACCATCAGGTGCCGCATGCTCGTTTGCCCCTACTTATATTTGAGCAAAATCAGTCAAGTCGTTTTTTGTGCCGAATGAAAAATTGTATAAAATATTAAAACATATGATATTTTTTAATCCCTTCCACTGGGAAGTTAGTCGTGGGGACCTTTTAAGTCGCACCTAGGCCGCTTTTTTAATTTAAAACAAAATTGCCCCTTACATCATTCGATTTCAATGAATATCTTAGGAGATATCGCAGTTTTAAAATAACATCGCTTGTAAAATCAATAAGTTAATAATAAGTTTTGTTTTAGTTTAGTTATTTTCGTTAATTTTCTTATCTTAATACATACATTATTAGATGTTGTAGTATTTAATTTTCTTTACGGTATTGTTTTTGATTTTGTAGTGTTTTAGGGTAATTCTTTTACTATGGGTAGGCGATATCTTATCGTATAATAAAAACTTTTTAAGTAATAAGTTTTCCAATTAGTTTTATTCTTACGTAAATATATTATGAAATATAAGTAAAAAATGCTTAGAAAAAGTTCTTAACTTTCTCGACAGTCTGCCACTGCAAAACGACTGCGACTTTTGCACAGCAATGATACAGAGGATGAAAATAGGCAGGATAGATTTAAAAACGCGGTTTCGTTTATCGATTGCAACGAGCAATGAATGAACGAATCTGCGCTAGAGAAACAAGCGTCGAACGAACACAACGTTTGGTTTTACAAAATTCTCGAACTTCGGCGATTCGACAACGGGAATCAAGTGCTGAAAGTTCTTAACGTTTGGCCTCACAGAATTCCCGAACGTTGGCGAACCGAGAACTGAAATCAAGCGCTGGGCGTTTCCACCGATTAGCTCAACAAAATGCAAGATCAGCAATGGCAGGCAGCACAACTCATTGAACTCTGCTTTTGCTTATGACTTTAACCTCGACTAATTTGTGCTAAATGATGTTGATATTGATATTGGTTGTATGGATACATAGGTCAGACAGTGCTGATACCTCACATCCCTGTGATACCAATGGATTTGCCTTTTAACTTTAAAATAATTCAATTTCTGGTAAAAGTATCGTTTGCGGTAACAATAAATAAGGCCCAGGGGCAAACATTTAAGCACTTAGGAATAGATTTACGCCAAGAGTGTTTTTGGCACGAGCAGCTATATATTGCTCTATCAAGATCTGGTTCTGATGAAAATCAATGTCTACTTCTGCCGAAAAAAAAACTAAACTAAAAATATAGTGTACGCAGAAGTACTTTAAAATAACATTAGTTTATAGTTTTTTGGGAAAACCTACAATCGACCCGGTACTTTTACTTTACGTTTTGAAGTTCCACTATTACTGATAAAGGCGTGATGTAGATACCTAAAATAGCTTCTAAACGTGTGTATTATTTAAAAATATTTTCGTCTTCTACGTAAACGAAGTCGCGCGTTAAAGTAAACGTTAGCCCAAAGTAACTATTCCACGCGGACGAAGTCGCGGGCGTAAGCTATGTAGTATTAAATAAAGCATATTTAACAAAAATGCCTAATTCGGTTAAATCGGTTCTACTAGCTTATCGAACTGCTAGCATAATGTATGTCACTGAAATACAAACACACTATTTAAACGTCAAATATTTTTGAGTAAAGTCAATTCATATTTACAAAATTATGATTTATTTGGGACTAACAATTTGAAGTAAGTAACAGAGGTACGTTTTGCTGCTACAAAATATTGCCGCCTTTATAATTTGATGATTCCTTCTTTAAGCTCTTGTAGTTCCTTTGAGTGTACCCACTTGATGCCAGTGGCCGACGCCGCGCTCGTAGGCCTCGAGATACACCTGCGTTATATTTCGAATTATATGTATACTAAACTGAATTTTCAATTTGAAAGTTAACACAAAATAGGCGGATTTCACTGTCTTATAAAGCGTCGTTTTAATTATTTCAGCGTCGAGCACTCAGTAACCGTCCTGAGGCTCTGTGGTGAGATGCCGGCAGTTAACGACATAATATGTTTGCTCGCGTGCCTCCTATGAAATATTTAAGCGAGCGATTATCCCAGAATTAAAAATCATTTACTCTATACTCATAAACTCATTTATTAGTGAACACAGAGGCAGAATAGCATGAAAGATTAATCACGTACGCTGTATACAACCCCTTAGGTAATTAAATATTACACAACCAAATCAACCATTTTTTCATTCATTGCCTGCGCCCACTGGTTACAGGTGCAGGTTCATAAAAAGAAAAATTAGCGCTTGGCTGTGACGCTTTGGGCCGTGGATTCATATCCTACCCGAAAAAACTGTATGAGTGGTTGAAGTACTAAAAAGAGTTAAAATTAAAAAAGACTGACAAAAAATCAAGACTTACTCTATTTTTTGTCCAAATAAGTTCTCCATCCTCACTTTGCAATACGGCCATGGACCTTGATTCTTGTGCTCTTCTTGGCAAAACGCCACTTTGGCCTCTTTGTACTTACAGAATTCTTTCAGAACAATATCGTAGGGGAACGGGTAGAGCTGTTCGATGCGGCACATCGCTATTTTGTCTTCTAGCTTCTTCTCTTTGCGCAAATCGTTGATGATGATGGCCACTTTGCCTGAACAGAAGATCAGCTTCTTCACGCTCTTTGGATTTTTTGATGCTGGTCCATCCTCTGGAATGGCTCTGATAAAGACATACAAGTAAGTATATATGAAACGACTTCTTATCTTAAAGGTGAGCTTGTATTAGGTATAAAGGTAGGTATAGACCATCGATATAAATGACAAGATATGATCATGCGAAAAAAATTTTTCACGGTTTAAACATAGAATAAATCAACGCCATCTCTTGAACTCGAACTCATGAATTACCACGGAACCGGTGTTTCTACTTACGATTTTGGTTTTACCCTAGAACCTATAGAAATACTAAAAAATTCAATATAGCCTTATTTATTGCACCTAATTTTCAATATATCAAAGAACAACATCATTATAAGATTTGAAAGAAACATATACAAATTCAAGACATTTCTTTCAAAGTTTAATTACATTTAATTATAAAATACTGGATGATTTTGTACCATCTGGAAAAAATAGGGTGTAACAGGTAAACGGAGTAAGAAGCCTATGGCACTGATATTTCAAATTTTTTTTTAATTAACTTATAAAATGTATCAATCAATTTTACTAATTTGAAATAACCTTTTTTTTTAGAAAAATGCAGTACAAATTATATTTAGTTTTATGCAAATGCAGTAGGATGAATTGTTTTATGGAATTTTTTGAATATTCGGAATTTTTTCTATCAGTTATAATTTAGAAAGTTTTCGAGGATAGCTTCCATTCCAGTTACACCTCCATATTATTTTCCAGACGGCAAAAAAAGTCACTTCAAGTTCGATTAAACATGTTGCCATAATCCCGTTACTGTATATAATGAAAATCTTGGGATTTTTGCCTAAAATAATGCGACAAGTAGTTTTGACAGTCCTTTCTTGATGTTAACCTAGCAGTACCCAAAGAATTATCAAGAGACTGAAGCAGGTGAAAATCTGAAGTTGCAAGGTCAGAACTATAGACTAATGATGACAGAATATAACTAATTGTGGATGCATTTACACTTCTCAAGCTCTCTAAATTTTTGCTGAATGGCCAAAGGTTTGTGGTCCGGAGTTATTGTGATGAAATACCACGCTTTTACTGTTGATCAATTCCGGCCGGTTTTTTCTCAATTTCTTGCTTGAGTCTCATTAGTTGTTGGCAGTAGAGATCCAAATCGGTGGTTTTTCCCGGCTGTAAATGCTGATTATAAACGATGCCCTTCCGATCCCACCATACAAAATATTTTTTTAATTTTTATTTTTATATTACTGTCCAATATTCGGATTTCTACGTATAGGGTTTGGGCTGTGCGTTGGTAGATGAGTCAGTTACTCAAAGCATCCTCTTTTATATACATATATTATACTCGTAGATAAGGAAGTACGAATAAATATTATCTGCTGCGTTACACAAGGTACTACTTAATACTAAGTAGCTTTGCTTTATTATGCCCTACAGTGGGCGACAAAGAGCTAATGATGAAGTAGTTTTGCACCTTATGTATTTAGTTTAGTTCAAATAGGGCCCTAATGTAAGTTTTGCCCCGGGGCCCTTGCTTACAAAGCTACGTCACTGGGGAGGCCTATGTTCAGCAGTGGAATTTAATAGGCGGTAACGGTAACTTGTTTTTCAAGTCGATTACCGGTTTATGGCTAGCCTTTACAATTTTAGCTTATACTGATCCATTGGGCTATGTTAGTTACATTGAATCTATTGCGAATATTACCTTTACAGATTCTACATGCATAGGTACTTCGAACTTGGCTTTCTATCTAGCTAAACATAAATAGCTTTAAATACAAAAACGAATAAATGATTAACCTTTTAAAAGTGGTGCCAGGTAAGAAGTCTTTTAACGGCGATTGGTAGTATGGGTGCTTGAGGCCGATCTTTGGTGTAAATATAATAAGCGGCTTGCGGAACGGGAGCGCCACCTGCCGCCGCATCAAGTGACAATAGTTGGCCGCGTTGGTCACGTTGCACACTATCCAGTTTGATGCCCGAAGTTGATTCACTACGACACAAGTAAATAATATATATAATCTAACTCGCCAGGCAGACGTTGTTCTGCCCTATATATATATATATATATATATATATATATATATATATATATATATATATATATATATATATATATATATATAAACGAAATTCTAGTGACTGGCTGACTTACCTCGAAATCTCGAAAACTATACACACGATTGAATTAAAATTTAGTATAGTTACTCATTTCGCAATGTAGACGTCCACTAGGAACGAATTTTACGTAAGTCTCATTGAAAAAAAAATTGATATTTTACCTCTAGATTCCGCAATAAAATACTATCGTGCGCCATGCGAAAATTTTAAATTTAGGCTTGTGTATTTGTGTTTCGACTTAAGTGATTTACGATATGGAAAACTTAAAATATCGAGTCATTTACCTTTACGGGTTCCACCGTGAAATCAGCACTGTGGAAATAGTTCGAAGAATTAATTATGTGTATGGGGATGCTACTGTAATAGAAAACACGGTACGTTTTTGGTCCTAACGTTTTCGTTCTGGCAATTTTGCCCTACAGAACAAACCCCGTGGACGTCTGGAAACCCTAATTGACAATGAAGAATTAAAAGTGATCGTGAAGTGACAAACCACGTCAGAGTTAGCGGCATGCTTGAGTGATAAAACAATTTTAATTCACTCGAAACAAATTGAAAAAGTGAAAAGCTCAAAAAATGGTTACCGCATGAATTGAGTGAAGTACACTAACAAACACGCGCCGACTGCTGTGTTACATTACACATTATGTCACAATAACGAAGAGATCTTGAATCGTATTGTTACTTGTGAAAAATGGATCCTGTACTATAATCGAAAAAGCTCATCACAATTGAAGAACGCAGGACAACTGGTCAAAAACCTACTATAAGGCCAAAAAGAAACTGGTAAGTGACTCGTGGACCAGTGCTGGTGTCATCCACAACAGCTTCCTAAGATCTGGCCAGACGATTAAGGTAGATCTGTATTCTTTACAATTGTAAACCATGCTGGAAAAGCTAGTCTTTAAACAACCTAGACTAGGTGAATTGCTCCAGCCCAATGCTGCTTCAGGACAACGCTAGACCACACACTGTACGTCAGACGGTCGCTGAATTAGAGGAGCATATTAAAATGTCTTCAACATTAACCATACTTCACAGACCTTGCTTCAATAGATTATCTACCACTTTTACTGGAATTTGGACAATATCTTGCAAGGACATAAATTCCGCCGAAAAAAACTCCTTTAAAGATTTTATTGATTCACGCTCCTACATTTTTTTTTAGCAAAAAATACAATGGACCACCTATAAACTGACGAAAGTGCATAGATAACAATGGTACATACTTCGATTGATTAATTCATTTTTAGTATTGTGCTTTCCTTATAAAATGCCAATTTTATATTACCTATAAAATAAGATTATTTGTAAAACACACTGAGATTATTTTATCATAACAACTGCTATCTTTTGTACTGTTGCTACATAAGAAGTAATTTGGAATATACATCACAGGTTCACAGGTATGGAGTCCCCAATATAATACATATATATCTCGAATTGAACTTATCCAAACGAAATTCATTAATAACCTATGCTACCGAGTAAGCGACCACTACAATTCTAACCTCTATTAAGACAAATATAAAAAGTTCCACCTCTTACCACTCGAGATGCAAAGAATAATAGCAGATATTACCTTTCTATTTACGATAGCTTCAAGCGAGACAGAGTGCCCAGATCTACTTGCGAAATTAAATATAAAAACTCCAAAAAATGAAAGATGAAAGGTACCACTATCGCTACCCGCGGCCAACATTAATTATAGACAGAATAATTATATGTGTAGTATATACAAGAATTTTAATACTGTATTCCAATTTTTTAATTTAGACCTATTCAACACAAGTACCATTTCGGCGAGACAAGTTCTGAGTAAGCTTTTTTCGACTCCAGCCAATGATCTTATTTTTTGTTCTTGTTAATCTTTAATATTTTTAGTTAATTACTGCACGATGTTGCCTCGCTAAGCTTATGTTGGTGCGACAGTGTCCTATTAGCTGTTGGTAACTCATCTCATGTAAATATTTATATAGTGTTACTATTTGCGGAAACCCATAAATGGTTTCCTATTGCTTAATTGTTTTCTACCTACTCTGTTTTTTGTTAACCGAGGGATTTTCGATTAAATAAATAAATATATAAAGTCCCAAACAGTTGATACTTACACACCAAGTCTTTGTCGTCAAGGTCTGGAAGAATGTCCTCATCGTCGTTGCACTGCATCAAGTAACGCTCCACGCGCGCTGAGGAGTGCTCTGGGCCCTGGATGACAAGCACCAGTAAGTTATCCTATTCTCTTACACGGATATACAGGAATATACCATAATAAGAATGTTAGCTACGCTGCAGTGTATTATCATTACAAGAAACAGTAGTAAACTAAGGTCTCGGGTGTAAGAACACATCTGCATTTTGACTTACAGTTGATGGTTTTAGAATGGGCGATAAGCATAAACCTGTTATACTATCAGGTGGTTTGTATTCTTGTTTGTCATATTTAAGGCTTATATACTTATAAATTTTAATAGGATTCAGGAAAGGAAAACGAAAGTGTAATAACACATTGGACTCTTAACTATACATGGTTGAGCCACGCTGTAGTTATGGTTGTAGCACTAATGTGTCGGCTCGATAAGGGATAGAAATCGTTCGTACAGAATACCAGTGTAATTTTTTTATAGAGAAAAATAAGGGGGTGACAAATGAGCATTTAATACACCTGATGGTAAGTGTATGCTATGGCCTATAGATATCTACATTTGTCCTCGATTAAGAATTAAAATGTAGATGCGTTGTCACTCTTGAGAACTAAGTTGGAATACCTCATTTCCAGTAGAAAGGTCGCCGGTTCTCTACACTCACCATACGAAACACAGCAGCCTCATGCTGCTATTTTACGCTGGTATTCTGTAAGATTGTGGTTTGTGGTCCTACCTCAGTCGAGTCGAACTATTCGTGCTACAAATAATATAGTTGCAGCCTGTCTCTAACACGTAAAAAGCTAAACTTAATGTATCTACATATGTCCCACTACTGGGCACAGGCCTACTTTCATTACTGAGGGGGTTTTGGGGCAAGAAAGTGTCCACCGCACTACCCCATGTCGTCTCATGTCTTCAATTTTTTTTTAATTCCTTAGGTTTCAAATTAACAATTCTATTGATGCCGGTGGAAATCGAACCCGAGTTGGCCGCGTATTGTGAAATTTTCAGCAAGCTAGCCCACCAAGCCCTTGGCATCACGGCTCAATAGTAAAAATAGCAGCATAATGCTGCTGTTTTTCGTATAATGAGTGGCGAAAACCGGATACCCTTTTTACTGGTAAAGAGGTATTATTTCATCTCAGGTCTCGAGGAATCAGGGTTAACACATCTATATTTTCATTGTTAACCTATTACAGATGAAGTGTTTTAATAATAATAAGTCACAGCAGCCATTTACTATCAGATGATCTGTGTGCTCTTTTGTCACCTTCTTCTATAAAAAAGAACTGCTGAGGAAAGTAATTTAAAGGAAGGAATTGAGGAAAGGATTAAGTAGCTTGGCTTTGAACATACGTCGTCATTGAAAACAAATTTAGACAAACAAAGAAAGAGACGGAGCATATCTTTCATTTTAAGTGATAAGTACTCACGCACACACGTTCCTTTCTATAACAGCCAAAGTCCACAGCTGAACGCACACATAAAATATGTTGTAGGTTTCAAATGATATTAGATGCATTTGTGTACGTGTACGTGTTCTTACAATAAGTTTTCTTTAGAATAATATTCCATGTTTTTATTGCTAACCGCGCCATCAATTCCATGCGGTAATTGCACCACGATGCCAGACTGGCAGACCCACTTGCTCTCGCCATTGCTGATGAACGTATCAAAAATTGGTTGAGCCGTGTCCGCGAAGTCACCGTACTGCGCCTCCCAAATCGACAACTGATATGGGCTAGAGTACGAGTAGCCAGTCTCGAAGCCGAGGATCCCTGGATTTCGAGTAACAGGAATGTTCATAAGAAACTTCAGCCAAAAGAATATAAAAGTAAAAAGTAAAGTAAAAGCCTACATATATACACATCCCAATGTTGGGCAAAGGTCTCTTCTCACTTCTGAGAGAGTTTTAGGGCATGAAAATGTTCGCGGCGCTGCACCGCCTTAATGCGTGCGTATTGGCGGACTTCACACGTCTTCGTAATATTTTTTTTATTTCTCAGACATGCAGTTTTTCTCACAATGTTTTTCTTCTCCGTCGAGCCTATGGTAAATCATCACTTAAAATTGCAATTAACAATTTTATTGGTGTTGGCGGTGATCGTATCCTGGTTGCTTATGTATTTTGATATTTACATCGAGCGGCAAGCCTCTGAGCTATCATGGCTCAATAAAATATAGGTAATTGATAACTGTTAAAGATTATTGCTAAGATCTGCGTAACAATATCAAATGATGGCCCACTTCAGGCACTGCAGAGTCTACTTCACTAGAGGATGCCTCGTGTAGAATCAAAACACGTGGTGTATTGTTTCTAGTGTAGTGATGTTGGGAGTAGCGATGCTAGGAGTAATGGTGCTGGGAGTATTGGTGCTGGGAGTAGCGGTGCTGGGAGTAGTGGTGCTGGGAAAAGTGGTGACGGGGATAGTGCACGTGATAAAGGAATAGCAGAATATGTTCTTCAATCTAGGTCTTTATTATATGTAGTAACGCCTCTTTATATTAATAATTGTGCCGAAGTAATATTTATAGGTATAATTATAGGTAAGCTCTAATAAGGATAAATTAATTATATTGAAGGCAAGTAAAATCTAAACACAGTATCGACTAACAAATATTGTAGGATTATGGTAGGATATATGACACCACTGCTCATTAGTTTTTTTAAATGGTCGTGTCATATCCACTATCTACTCAATGAGTACTTCCATTATCTACTCAATGAGTACTTGTTTAAAATTTTCAGTGACAATCTTCTTATAATTACCTCGTCCAATGGCATTAATATCGATGTCATTAAAATTCTCATTGTACGAGTGCATCATACGTGATAAAGAGGACTTTCGTCCCGCGTTAGTTCGGCATAAATTAATACAAAAAAGTTTATGAGAATGGGCCACGCGCTGATGTGCTCTGGTAGGTACCCTATAATTTATATTCTCAGTTATATCCATACAGTCGTATCTATAGTGACACATATCATAAAACAACATTGCCTCGAGAATTGTACGCCTTGATTTAAGAGTGTTAAGATTATATTTTGCCATGACTTCATTGTACGGTATTTTTTTTCTCGCATATTTATAATGGATATATTTAAGAAATTTCTTCTGCACAATTTCTAGTTTATCAATATATTTTTTATATAGAGGATTCCAAATAGTCACTGCATACTCTAAATGACATCTTATTAAGGATTTATAAAGATGTAAGTAAGTCAAGGGATTTTTAAACATATTACCAGATCGGATGACGAAACCGTACATCTTATAAGCTTTGGTAATAATATTTTCAATGTGTATACTTAGATGAAGTTTAGTGTCTAAAGTTACTCCAAGATCCCCGATTGCTACTTCTTGAGATAAGGGGGTACCACATAAATAATAGATGCAAGAACTGGTTTTTTTCTTTTTTGTAAAAGTTATAGATTTACATTTGTTAAGACTGCGTTGATATTTGTGCCGTGTAGTGGCGGTTAAGAATATCCACTACCCCATATCTTCCCGTGGGTGTCGTAAGAGGCGACAGAGGGAGACAGGCAGGAGATGGGCAGCAGCATCTTCCTGATAACAGCAACTGTACGACAAAAAAAAGCGGGAACCCGCCCCAAGGCAACTATGGCAATATACCAGAAATACACAAATAGACGGCAGTGCCCCGACGAAGTTCGGTTGCTACCTACGACGACTCGACCTGGCAACATTTAACGCACGCACACTGAGGACTGACGAGAAGATCCTGGAGCTGGAAGAAGAGATAGACAAGTTGCGCTGGAGTATTATAGGATTATCCGAGGTCCGAAGAGAGGGGGAGGACACGGTGATTCTCGAATCCGGCAACTTGTTCTATCACCGGGAGGGCGACCATCTGTCCCAAGGAGGTGTCGGATTTATCGTCCACAAGTCTCTCGTCAACAACGTTGTACAGATTGAGAGTGTGTCGACGAGGGTCGCGTACCTGATACTCAGAATCACCAAACGGTATTCGCTGAAGGTCATACAGGTTTACGCACCAACGTCGGCACATTCCGATGAGGAGGTGGAGGAAATGTATGAGGATATTTCCAAAGCCATACACCAAAACCCACTACACGGTGTTGATGGGAGACTTCAACGCAAAACTAGGCACAAGAGAAAACGGTGAGCTGAAGTTAGGGAAATTTGGAGTAGGGCAACGGAACCGAAGGGGCCAGCAGCTGGCCGACTTTATGGAGAAAGAGGGACTCTTTATGATGAACTCTTTCTTCCAGAAGCGGCCCCACAGGAAGTGGACCTGGTCGAGCCCCGACGGTTCGACAAAAAATGAGATTGACTTCATTATGACGACCAGACGCCAACTGTTCAGTGATGTCTCAGTGATCGCAAGGGTGAAAACTGGCAGCGATCACCGAATGGTTAGAGGCACACTGAACCTAAACGTTAAGTTGGAGAGGTCTCGTCTAATGAAGTCAACGCTCCGTCCCCCTCGTACTCTGATCCAGAATCCCGAAAACTTTCAGCTCGAGTTACACAACCGCTTTCAGTGCCTACAAGATTGCAATGCAGTGGACGATATGAATGACAAGCTCGTGGAAACTGTCCATGCGGTCGGAGCTAAGTTCTGCAAGACCCGCCGCAGAAGAACACAAAAACTCTCCGATCACACTCTTAATCTCATGGCTGTTAGACGGGAGATGAGGCTGCAATCGTCAACAGATTTGACAGCATACAGGCAACTGAACAGACAGATCTCCAAATGCATGCGGCGAGACATACGCAACTTTAATACTGCTCGTATTAAAGAAGCGATCGAGCGGAACCAGGGCTCCAAAGTCTTTGCCAGAGATCTGTCTGCCAGAAAGAGCCAACTGTCAAGGCTGAAGACTGAGTGTGGCAGAATCGTTTCCGGGACACCTGAGATTTTGAGTGAGATTGAGAGGTTCTATGGGCAGCTGTACACATCATCGTTGGAGCCACACGCAAGTGTGAGTAACGATCCAAGAGCAAGTCTTATCCGACACTATTCCGATGATATCCCGGACGTCAGTCTAAGCGAGATTAGAATGGCTCTCCAGCACCTTAAAAACGGCAGGGCCCCAGGCGAGGACGGAATTACAGCGGAGCTTCTGAAAGCGGGTGGAACACCGGTACTTGAAGTCCTTCAGAAGCTCTTCAATTCCGTCCTCCATGGTGGCACTACTCCAGAGGCGTGGAGCAGAAGTGCGGTGGTCTTGTTCTTTAAGAAAGGCGACAACGCTCTCTTGAAGAACTACAGACCGATTTCCCTTCTGAGCCGCGTCTACGTGCTGTTTTCGAGAGTCATTACGAATCGTCTCGCACGCAGACTCGATGACTTCCAGCCTCACGAACAAGCCGGTTTCCGAAAAGGCTTCAGTACCATAGACCACATACATACCATGCGGCAGATTGTACAGAAGACTGAAGAGTACAATTTGCCACTTTGCCTGGCGTATGTGGACTATGAGAAAGCCTTTGATTCCGTCGAAATTTGGACGGTGCTGCAGTCCCTTCAGCGGTGCCAAGTTGACTGTCGGTATATCGAAGTGCTGAGTGTTTGTACAGTAGGGCTACGATGGCTATCCGAGTACAGAACCAGAGCTCGAAACCTATCCAACTGCAGAGAGGTGTAAGACAGGGTGACGTTATATCCCCGAAACTCTTCACCGCTGCTTTGGAAGACGTTTTCAAGCTACTGGACTGGAAAGGATACGGTATTAACATCAATGGCGAGTACATCACTCACCTTCGATTTGCCGACGATATAGTCCTTATGGCAGAATCGCTGGAGGACTTAAGCACTATGCTCAATGACCTCAATAGTGCTTGCCAACGGATAGGTCTTAAGATGAACATGGACAAAACAAAGATTATGTTTAATGTCCATGTCACACCTATACCGGTAGTTGTTGGAAGCACTATGCTCGAAGTTGTTGACGAGTACGTTTACCTGGGACAAATATTCCGACTAGGTAAGTCCAACTTCGACCGAGAGGTCAATCGACGGATTCAACTCGGCTGGGCAGCGTTCGGGAAATTACGACATATCTTCTCGTCAGGTATACCTCAATCTCTGAAAACTAAAGTGTACAACCAGTGCGTGTTGCCAGTGATGACTTACGGATCAGAGACGTGGTCCTTCACTGCTGGCCGTATGAGGACGCTCAAGGTCGCTCAGCGAGCTATGCTCGGAGTTTCTCTGCGTGATAGACTCAGAAATGAGGATATCCGCAGTAAAACCAGATTGACCGACATAGCCCAACGGATTAGTAAGCTGAAGTGGCAATGGGCCGGCCATATAGCTCGAAGAACCGATAACCGATGGGGAAGAAAGGTTCTCGAGTGGCAGCCTCGTACCGGTAGGCGTAGTGTAGGGCGACCCCCCACTAGATGGAGTGACGACCTGGTAAGATATGCAGGAAGTCGATGGATGCAGGTGGCTCAGGACCGTGCTTTGTGGCATTACTTGGGGGAGGCCTATGTTCAGCAGTGGACTTGTGAAGGGCTGTGATGAAGACTGCGTTCCAACTTATTTCTATTACAGTACGATGTGAAACGGTTTAAATCATCCTGGAATTCTAAATGGTCATTAGTGTTGTTGATAATTTTGTATACCTTTAAGTCATCAGCATATAAAAGGAACCTACTTGAACGGAAGCACATATTAATGTCATTTATAAATATTATAAATAGAAAAGGACCAATAATAGATCCTTGTGGCACGCCCGAAGTAATCGGTACACATTCCGATTCGTGACCCCTAATAACCACTTTTTGCA